TGGTGAGGACCTGGGCTCCGCTTCCAAGATAGTTCCTGAACACTTCGTGTTCCTGCGTCTTCCCCCATTGTACTCTTATGGGAGAAGGGTGGAAAGGCGAGGGGACCCTCTCTAAAGGACGCCTGACCCCACAGGCAAGAAGGAGCCCTCATGGCCTCACCACCTCTGACTACCGTCACCTCGGCAACACCTGGATTTGGGAGAGGACACATTCAAACCATCGCGGCACTCCCATGATCTCATTTGAGCTTTGAAAGACGGACATAGTTATGTGTGGATGTAGCATAAGGGATCTATGATGAGGATCGCTCCAAAGTCAAGCGGCTCCTTGTGGTCACACAGTTTCTGAGAGAAAGCGTGCCACATCCCGCGGGCATCGTAGGCCTTTATCAGCCTCGCTCAGTTCATCATAGACTCACATAACCAGCTATATAATCTCCAGTGCTTAACACTTTTGTGGTTTTTCCCTCTGAATATTTCTGCTTTTGCAAAGAAGGGACTGCCGCCTGGAATTGTGAAGAGCTAGCTGCTCTTTGAATGGGCTCGGGGTGATGAATCAATGACTCATGTCAGCAACAGCCCCAAGTCATAAGACGACTGAGCTAAGACCTGCTTTAGAATAAATGTTTGTGATTCTTCCTGCAGGTCTTGCTTCTTGATGCGTGGTGTTTTCAAAATGCTTACAGTCGGGGTACTGACTGATGCTTCTATTTAAAGAGGTCTAGAAATTGCCATCAGTACCTGGTGATCTCACCAAGAGGATTAAGTTAAACACAGAAAATAAATGCACTCACCAGCATAGGCACAATTTACAGTTCTTGGGATACAAGTGGCTACCTACACGAAGTGCGCATGTGCGGACAGGAACGCTTTCTGATTCGTTGAGAGTATTTGGTTTGCACTGTGTCTTTATTTGAAATTAAAGAGACGTTAGTCCTTAATTTTTCTACAACTAACAAACCTGAGTGTAATCCTAGATAATGTGTGCCTAAAAGGAGACAAAAGACCTACCTTCCCACACTACATCTTGGTGAAATAATATCCGAGGGTCCTTATCCTAAAACTGATTGCTGCTGAACAGATTTGAAGTCTAGGCTTATAGCATGTTGTTTTGATGACAGCAAGAAAGAAGATAGACGAAAAGACCCCTGTGGCTCATAGCAAGCTGACTTAATTTAACCTAAATACATTTTAATTGGCTTTTTATTAGTACATTTGTTGTACATAAATATTCTAATTATCATGGGGAACTGGTATATGTACATAATACATCTTAATTCTCACTGTAAAAAAAAATCCCCTGCCCTGCCTTTCCTACCTGTTCCTTCCAACTCTTGGTCCCCTTCTCATTATTATTATTATTATTATTATTATTATTATTATTATGTGTGTGTGTGTGCATGCGTGCGCTTGTGTCCGTGCAGGCACGTGTGTGTTTTAGGGAAGGATCTACAGGGTGTTCAGGGTCTCACTACTAGATTGGACTCATAGTGATCCGCCTGTATACAGTCTCCCAAGAGCTGGGATTACAGGCGTGCGCCATCACACCCAGTCTCAATTGCTGTCTCAGCGTGCCCCTGGGAATGGCCCAGCATGGTAGGCCCAGGGATCGAACCCCAGGCCCCTGAGCCTGATTGCAGGCGCTTTAATCCACTGAGGTATTTGGCCTGCCCTCCTCCTTCCCATTTGTAAAAACACTATTTTCATTATTTTCCCCCTTCAATTCTTTTCTTTTCCCATCCCCTTTCCTTCCATTTTCCCCTCTATTTTTCCCCCTTTCATTTGAAAAAGATCGCCCTACTTCTTCATCTATCTTGTATTTTGCTATTTTCTATTTTGCATTCTCACTGTTTCTGTCTCTCTTTATGTTTATATATAATACATAATAGCACACTAAATATATTACAGTTTGATTTACTAATTAGAAGATTTGAGATAATTTCTGACAACCATCACCTCCCCACAACTACAGATCTTGTGTTCCAGTTTGACTCTAGAACGTCCTGTAAAAGCCTTGTGTGTTCAGAGGTGGGTTTTCTAGAAGGTGATTTGACATGGGGACATTGCAGCTGACTTGGTAGTAGGAGGTGGGGCTGTTGGAGGTACACCATGTGGGGGTGGCAAGGAAGGGTGCATTCTCCTCCTGCCTCTTCCCTTAGCTCCTGCTTTCTGGCTTCCATAAGAGCAGCTTTCCTGTACTAGGCCCTCCTTGTGCCAGCCCTGCCTTGGACCAAGAACGAGAGTCAAATAAATCTCTGTTCCTGGAAGTTGTGGATGTCAGGTACTATGTCTCAGTGGTAAGGAAATTTTCTATAATTTTAAAAAATTATTGTGATAAAGTATATAAAAATGAAATTTACCATTGTAACCATTTTTAAATTCATAATTCCATGATATTAAATACATTCACACCTACTCTCCTGAGTTCTCTTTGTTCAGGGCTTATTTCTCTCTTGTCTTACTGTTTTTTTTCTTCTTGGTTTTGCTCTTGGAATTCCAACATTTAGGTAAAACATTTTTGAAGTGTTATATAAAAGAAAGGAGAAAAAACAAAAACAAGCCATCTGGCCCTTGGGGCAGAATCTGTCAGTAAAACCTGAGGGGTTGAAGGAGCTGCTGAGGCCTTGGGCTGTGCTTCCCACCACTGTAGCGGGTTGGCTGGCTCTTCTTGACAGGGGTGGGCCAGAGGGCAGGGCAACTGTGGGAGACTGGATACTAACCTCTGGGATGTGGGACAAAAGTTTCTGTCTACAAACTCAGGTCTTCCTCAACTTCATGGAGGCTAAACAGACCTTTTTATGCCTTGAGATTCTTCCATTGGCAAACGCTCTTGAACCAAATTCTGGATCTACCAATGAAGAAGAGAGGAACAAGGTCTTTTGCATTGGTAGACTCTGATCCAAAAAAACATGGAATGTGTAGGAAGGAGAAAAGTCTGTGTCCTGGTAATCAGAGCTTGGGTCCTACATGACAGGGATCTGAGAACTGGCAAGGGCCCAAGACGTGTACAGCTGGTAAAACACTTGTGCCAGTGCCCACAAGTGGCAGAGGTAAGGAATCCAGCCATCCCAACCTACTGTTTTGAGAAAATATGGAATTACTGTAACTTCAACACTGACAGAAAATGGTCTTAAAGAGGGGTAGGTTGCAAACTACCAGGTAATGCAGGGGCTCTGGTACTGCTTCTACAGACTAGGTAGGGCTGAAGGTGAAGAGAGTCTGAATAATATGCTGAGATAAAAACTCAATATGAAGAGCAAGACCAGCAAGCCTGTGCCTCAGGGGAGGTTCATGAGCAGAAAGCAAGAGGGAGTACACACATTGCCTTAGAACACATGAGTCCCTGTGAAAATCACAGTGCTCTGGATCTCACTCTTATAATTTAGTAAGATTACAAAGAATTCTACTCCTGAATTCTTTACTGTGAATTGTAGATGGCCTTGGGAGAACATGTCTGTTTAAGCACTCAGTTTCTGTTTGTAGAGAGATGACTGGAATCAACTCAACAGCCATTGAGTCCACTGGGTGGAGGCTTTGCTGTGGACATTTGGAGGTGAGTAGGATTTGGTTCTTGCCTTCAAAGATTTAAAATGATAGTGTGGACAGGGAAACATGAATAGCTGCAGGAAGGGATGCATAAGTATGGAAAACTAATGTAAATGCAAAGTACTTATTTTCTTTAGGACCTTGTTATGTTTTGGGTTTTAGGGGCTCCCCAAGAACATAAGTATTGATGGCGTGCACCTCAGCTGAGGAAACTACTGAGTGGTGGTAGAACTTTGATGGGACGGGGGCCAGCTGGAGAGAGTAGGTGGGTCAATGGGGTAAGCTCTCAGAGAGTAGATGAACAACCCAGCCCTTAGTCTCTTCCTGGCTGCAACAAAGTCATAAAGTTTTTCTACTGCAGCCCCACCCCATGATGCTCTGCTTCACCACAGGCCCAGAAAAAATGAAGTGACTGGACTAAAAACTCTGAAACTGTGAAGCAAAAGAAGCCTTTCCTTTAAGTTGATTTTCTCAGGTATTTTATCACAGTGATGGAAAGTTGATTTTAGTATTGAAATTAGATTTGTCAGTACATGAGATATACTCATAAAGGAATTTATTAGGAAACTTATGGTTAACCAATTTATTTCAATACATAGTGATCTCTTGTGTGTTAGGCACTAAGTTGGTACCTGGAAATCCAAAGCAAAATAAGCACTCACTATCCTTGAAGTTGACATGCAAAAAAAGAAAAACTGAGAGCCATGCAATGTGGTGAAGCCGAGGCATCGGGGCTCTCTATGTTTGGTTTTTTTCTTTCATTCTTTCTTTTGTGTGTGTGAGTGTGTGTGTGTGTGGTGGAGCCAGGGATTGAACTCAGGTTCTTGCGCTTGCCAGGGAAGCACTTATTCCACTGAGCCATCTCCCCGGCCTCCTGCTTTCTATGTTTCTGCATCTCTTACTTGCGTGCAATTTCCAGGACCATATGGACATGGAAGTATCTAGTCAATGAAGTCTTTGAAAAAGTGACAGCCACAAATCTTTAGTATTTCAGTAGACAGGAGAAGGAAGTTAAGGTGATGGCAAGGGGCAGGGATAAGGAAGGTGATCCTCCAAGTCCGAACATGTTGCCACCAAGCACCATCCTTCCATGGTGGAACCTTTGTAAGACAGAGTGGCCTGAGGATGCCTGCCCAGTATGTGGTTGAATTCCCCTTTCCCATTCTGTTTCTTTGCTTGAAACATGCTCATCACAGCTTGTCCGTGACCTAGGCAGGCCCACAGGATGTGGGAGTGGCCGGAAGTGATTTTCATCCACTCTTGAGGAGTCAGGGAGGTGGCCTCAGGAGCAGACTGAAGTCCCACATGGTTGTTGTTCTTAGAACCTGGGGAAGTGGGCTGGCATGGGCCTTCTAGCAACACGAAGAGAGCATCTTAACCCAACATGTCTTTGGTCAGGCTACTGTAACAAATAGCCAGAGATACGGTGCTTAAACGACACTTATTTCTTATAGTTCTGGAGGCTGGAAGTCCAAGATGAACAGGCCAGCAGAACCGGTATCTGGGAAGTGCCTGGCCTCTGGTTTGTGAATGACTGCCTTCCTCCCAGGAAGATGCTGCCCTCTGCCATATTATGATGCATTAATAAAACCTTGCCAGATGTTGTGCCGATACCGGCTCCATGTTCTTGTGTTTCCAGAATTGTGAGGCAATTAAACTTCTATTCTTTATAAATTACTCAACTTCAAGTATTTTGTTTTAACAACAGAAAATGTACTAATACAGAAGGCTTTATCATATGAGTTTGGGGTCTAACAAACGTGTAATCTCTAGTATAACAGGATAGAGTTTTGAAATTCACATTAGAACACAGATTGAGCAGGTAGCTCTGATGCCAGGTTGCCTGGAGTCAAATCCCTGCTTTACAAGTTGCTAGCTGTGTAGCCATGAGCAGGTTTCTTTGTCTCCTTAGTTCATCTAGAAGATGGATATATTTAAAAATAATAATAATAATAACACCTCTTTCTCCAGGGTGTTGAGAGGCTCATCTTTGTAGAGCTCTTCACACACTGTCTGCCACATGGTGTTTATGTTATTATAACCAGGATGGTTCCCACCCTACCTCTCAGGAATTGAGTGAAATCTTGGCATGTCAGGGGCAGAGTGGGAAACACAAAAACCACATGAATAGTGATGTGACTCAAGAAGAGTTGATGGGCCACTTTCCCTCGGTTCAGATGGGCTGAGTGGGGTACAATTACCAATTCTTGGTTTTCTTTTCACTCTTAGCAGAAAGGGTATAATTTTAACAAGATGAAAGGAGGCTTGCAGGCTCCTGATAACAAAGATTATCACAGACCACCCCTGTGAGTCTGTATGTTCTCTAGCGGAAGCACTTCAGATGAAGGATGTGCAGTAGAGGGATGACGCAGGCATACACCAGCTAGATGCTCCCTAGGGGAGGGGGAGTGGGCAGAGGGCCACAACCGAGACTCTTGGTGTCAACAGGGCAGCGACCCAAGTATGCTTAGAAGGATTTCTGTGAACATGGCTGAGCTCTCTTCCCTGATGGTGGCAGCTCTGATTTCTTAAGCTGCCCGATAGTTTACAGTTTCAAAAAATCAGCGCACTCCTGGCTTTGTTTTTCAAAGACAATAAGCAAATGCTTATATGGGAGTTTCATTCACATGTTTATATATAGTCTCTTAAGCACATTTTTACACTGCTCCTTTCTTTTCTCCTCCACCTCCAAGCTGAGGACATGGCTGCCCATGTCTTGTACTTTTTTGGTTCAAGAAAAGACCCCAGAGCCTAGGATTCCCTCCGACAGCCACATCCAGGCTCCTTCCTGTCTGCCAGACCCATGCTGGCACTCTTCTCCCTTGGTGGTTTTCTTTGTATTTATGGTCTTATGGCCCTGTGATTAACACTGATGCAGGAAAGCCCCACGAATATAATTCACTTGAAATTGTTAGCCAGCCAGTGACTTCTTTTTGCCTCCATTCTGAAAAGAGCCGCTTTCACTTACTCCTCCCTGACCCCTTAGTGGCTGAGCGCGTAGTACAAGGAGTCTAAGAACAGGAAACCAAGTGCCATTAGATTGCTAAGAGGGACTGCGACGTTTGCACAGAGACTGGTGAAGTGACGATGAGGCCACATGGTTTAGTGCCTACAACTGGCCCCTGCCGACCTGCATCAGTTGCTCTGCCTGGCATTTCACACACATTTCTGCATTTATTCCAACAAGACAGAGATGACTGTTATCATTGTGAACCCCATTTTCTGATGAGGTCCCGAGCAGGTCAGTAATGCATCTGAGATTTTAAGTCTAGTTAGGGCACAACTGAGATCAGGACAGCATCGGCTTCATGCCAAAGCCTCTGTTCTTCAGCACTCCATAGCACTCCACAACCTGGGCTCCTCCTAGGAGCCTAGAAAACACAGGCTTTTTTTTTTTTCCTTTTCTCAAGGAGCATTTAGTCTAGATTGAACTGCAGTGTTTATAATAGTGTCTTGCCTCTAAACTTTAAATTTAACAAAGTGAAAAGGCGACCCACAAATTTGGAAGAAATCATGACAAATACTCAGACAAAGGTCTGCTCT